TTTTACCTGGAAAGCCGACGCTGATGCCGACGCAGCCGTAGGCGGAGACAACCTCGAAAATGATGTTAAAGGTTGAGTAGGCGACGGGATCCTCGGAGTAGTGTGGCGACTCGGCAATGGCAATGAAGAAGACTGCGAGGGCGATCCACCATATGTCATGGCTGAGTTGAGAGCGGAGCTGTTGGTGAACGAAGTAGCTGCGCGAGGACTCGACCGTTGAGACATCCTGGCGTCCGAGGAGGTGATGTCGGATTAGGCTCATGACAATATTGGGGGGTTGGCTGCCGTGTGCGTCGAGCGGTTCGTCTGAGGCGTAAATGCCTAGGGAGCGCTCTTCGTACACATTGGTGTTTCTGCGGCAGTTAGCAAAGTAAGCTTAGAATAAGTGGACGAGACGAACCTCATGATCACCAATACTGGGAACGCCGAGACATACTGCAGAGTGGTTAGCCGGATATCTAGACAGGTTAGAATGACCGCTAAAACTGACCATCATGAGAACTACAAATTGTTAGCGGATGACACGTGGATTTCATGTTACGAGCCTTACCGTATAACACAAGTAGTCCCTGACGCAATCCAGAAATAGTTACAACATAGAACCCTCCAGAGCGCACAGCTATAACAGACGGGTTAGCAGCTGGTTATGAGCATGACCATGAAGACCCTCACCCAAAGCCTGGAACAGCCCATCTAAGATGCGATAACCTGCCGGCAGTGTCTCTATTTCTTTATTTCCAACCGCAAGGATCTCGAAACAGGCCCAGTCGATTCCATTCAAAATAACAATGGTCCCTAGCAGGTACCATGTATGGCGGACAGGGAAGAGATTAGTGTAAACCTGCAATGGTCAGTTAGCTCTTATGGTAAAAGACCGTAGTAGTCCATACCCTTCTGGGATGATCGAGGATAAAATCCAAAGTGACCTTCCATGTCTCCCATGATGGCCGATTCGTCACTAAGCCTCTCATAGCCCAGATGATGAATCGTAAAAAGCAGGGGTAGAGAGTATTCCCTGCAAGAATCAACATGCCCATTGTAAGAAGTGGGTACGCACTGTGGCTAGTCAGCGTTGTCCTCGTGAGTCAGAGAGAAGGTGAATTACTTTGTTTGCAAAGCGGTCATATTCGCATCCAATAGGGACATTCCACTGTTGACAAACGCAGAAACAGCGAAGAATGCTCCAGTCCAGAAGGGCGACAGGCCATTTGCTCGAGGAATCTCTGCATGGTTTACTTCTAGCCAGCCACCGACCCCCGCAATGCCGATGATCAGGAACGTCGCCCAGTATAGCAGAACGATGACCAACAACAACGAAACTGCTTTGTACTCGACACCGCCTAGTTTCTCACGTTCCTCAAGTGTAAGACCATGAAACTGGGAATTCCGCGAGATGAAGCCTTTTGAGGCAAAGTACTTCTGCGTATCTCTTAGGATCCCCTTCAATCGTGGGATCCCGTCTGACTCTCCGTCCAAAAGTACAGTGGGAGCTACATCTCTCGGATGGTTGTTCAAATCCAGTCGAGCGCCCACTCCTGCCATGGGGAAGACTCTGTGGTGATGATGATGATGGCGTGGCTGCATATGGCCAATAGTGACCTGATCGTCATCGCCCCATCGGATATCATCGTCGGCCGCATTGGAAGATTCTAACCGGGCATTCTCCGTGGCGGACGCCTGGGAGCCCTCAGGACTATGAGGTTCTCCCGGTTGCGAAGTGTGCCTTTTGGTCTTCCCCGCAGGCTTCAGGAAACCAAGATTGGACTGCGCGAAAAGATTCCTTGCGGCAGATCTCTCTGAAATGGTCTTGAATTTGAGCTGGAACGCTCTCTTGCGCACGAATAGGACCGTGATTGAGATCAGAATGGCATGTCCTAGGATCAGTAGCGCAAAAATAATGGACTGTTGGAACGTGTTTAGGGACGAGAGATCCACCTGAAACGAGTTAGCGAGGCTGAACGGCTGGATTCATGGAACGTACAGTGTTCAATCCCGCACCAGTCATGGCACTGACGCACATGAAAAGCGCGTCTGCATAATGAACACTTCGTGAGGGAGTCGCGGAACCCCAGAAGATGATACTGCAAATCAGCGGTGTGGCGATGAAATAAGCATAATGGAGGGTGAGGAAGTTGAATGGTGGCAGCACCGCCATTATGCAACGACCGAGTGGTCGAGACCATGTTCGTCTAAGTCGAACTGTTGAGTCTGTGAGCCCTCGATCGCTGACAGAGAGACACCGAACAAACGCCGGAAAAACGTACCAATCATCTCGACAGAGACTTTCTGAGATGACGAAAAGCAGGTGTAAGTGCCTCCGCAACAGCAGGACAACAGGACAACTTTTGGGGATGTTAAAATACAATGACTTCTTCAATAACGGAAAAATTTGAGGTTGAGAAGCACGTTGAACTGGTGCTTCTCTACCTGCCGTGGCAGCGCACACCGCTAGCCACAACAAGGGTTTTGAAAGAATTCTGTGACAAACTGAAAGGTTCGTAATCTTGTTCGATAGTCCATTGCTTTGAATCTCGGGTTTCCGTAGAGTGCCTTTTGCTGTGTTGGTGGGAATAGCGGTGAGGTTTCAGTTGATGCTGATAGTGGGAAGCAGAAAATTCCTCCGAGGTCGTGTTATGAATATAATGTCTCTGTTTTTAAGGATGCTGGAAGAAAGCTGTTCAAAGCGTGTGTTATTCCATTGCAACGACACTTTCGATAGTCAGAGAAGGTGGCGTTGTATAGACTGCTAATTGTGAGTTGTTGACGAAGGTTGAAAAAAAGTGCGAAAAGGGGAGAGATAAGGAACGATAAAGGAGGACTTCCGAGGTGGATCAAGAAGCTTACCCAACTAAGAAAGAAGCTTCAACGGGCCGCAGCTCTCGGCCTGATAGGGCTGTACAGTCCTTAGTGATAAGGCATAAGTACAAAGGTTATATCGGGACTTTTCTGGATATCGATTACCTGCACACTCAATTACATTTACAGTTGCAAAACCCTAGATGGCACTATTAGGTTTGCCACAAGCTGGAATCCGTCTTTTTCAATATAATAATTGATATTCACAAGCTGATCTAGGCTTAAGTCTAAGCCTAAAAAATATGTGAATGGCTAAACGATCTTGATGTAACTGATGACCTAGAAAATTCACAGCTGGAAACCTCCCATTCAAATCTTACTCCCTCACTCGAGTCCTTCCATTTCTCACCTCTAACCACCACTGAAGCCTTGGTTCAGTCGCAGGAGATGCTCAAGTCAGCCTCCGAGGGGACGCAAAAGCAGTTCATGATGCTGCGCATTTACGCGCTTAAAGGCCGAAAGTTAATCTTCTAGATCAGCAGCCATGGCGATGTAGGTAAGCGGGCTATTTACGGCTTCTCTTTTCCTTCTCCGTCTCCTCTCCCTTGCAGCCTCATCATAGCCCATCTGATCAAGCGGTTTCATAGTTGAAGAAGTACCAAAATCAACTGACACTCGGTTCCAACAAGAGCGGGCTTACCAGGTGAGAGCCGACTGCGCAAACTCCCTGGTGGACCCAATGATCAAGACAGTGACTTCTATGATACTGAGCATGTGCTCAAGCTTCAGAGCATGTGCTCAAGCTTGAGCTTATTCCTCTTTTCTTTGAGTATGCAACTGGAGCAACACTGGCCTCTGGCAAAGTGCCAACTTCCATCCCATTGATTGCACTTTTACTCTTCCTCCAACTCTGCCCCGAACAGACACAGCGCAATGAAGTCACTAGTTGATTTCCTGGATGGGGCCACCGAGCCGAAGTGTAAGGGTATCAAGTATTGAGACTTACCCCCTCAGTCATGTTTTGTGGCATCCCTCCGAGAAATTCTGCAGCAGGGAAGGAGAAGAAGAAGGAGAACACCAAAAAGAAGCACAGGTCACCAAGCCAGCTGGCACRTCGCACACAGCATAGTTGACAACTATCAGGTCAATACCTTCCCTATCAGCCAGCCAGAGATGAGGATTATGAGGGCGCCGTAACTAGCGTCTGGAATCTCATGCTCAACCATTATGTCAATCAAGACAACGGTTGCGTCCTCCGGACAGAGAACAGGGTTCAAGGGGGCTTTGTCGACATGAACAGCTACAATGGGTAGTTCAACTAAATGCAACAAGGCTAGTAACACACACAGTGCAAGCGGACCGCGTGCCTGGAGATGCAAGATTTCGCAAACACTCTTAAAGGTTACCTGGTTGATCGAAGTTGCCCGCTGGACTGAGGCGGTCCGGATCGACCCAGCACAATAGTTATATCTTGATCACAAATTGAGATAGAGCCATGGGATGGAGCAAGGTTTACCCTTTAATTATACAAAGGTATGCCAAGGACATCACGCAGATTGAAAAGAATAGGAACTGGCCCCAAGACTTTGAATCCAGGGGCGGAGTACGTCCTGAACGCCCACCACAGGCCCGACGGTCCATGTACAGCACAACAACAAGCTGTACTACATTGTGCTCGCTGCGTACTACGTACTCTGTGGCTCGCCGTCTAGGGCCGCAAAACAATTGCTTATTGGAGACTGGGCCAACGGAGTTTGGAGAAACTCAAACCGCGCCGATGACTGCTGCACAAAACTGCGGCTGCAGACGTTGAATATTTTCTGTTGGATATCTGCTTCACTATTATTTCTACTAGCTAGAAATAGTTGTTTTGACACCTTTTTATCTCGGTGGTTCAAGTGCATTCAACATTTTCTGTCTATGCAAGTAAACATTGACCGCAATGCCGACTAATAATATAACCACTGTTTTATTTTTCGGGTAGATCTACTCTCTTCTTCTCATTCTTCTTTAAAGATTTTGTGCGTCGTTCACACAAGCTCCAATGGTTGCTGTTAACCACGAGTAACCGTTGGCTACCAGCGCAAGTTACTATGTAGTCTGTAGTCTGTAGTTGCGATGGGTCTGGGGTTTCCACTATCAGCCTTGACAAGCTATGTAGACTTTTCATCTGTCATTATTATGATTGTGCACTCACGGCAAGATTAGATTTTCGACAAGGCGAAATAAATCCAAGGATGATAGCATGTCTCATCATCCACAGGATCCAGAATCATTGGCAGATATTTCAGGCGCCAATCTTCTTGGAAGGCAATATCAAAGTAATCCGTATTCACATTCATCCACCGCGCCTTGCAATATTCCCAGTATGCAGGGTACCATCCAGCCTGGGCCCAGTCGATGATCGCAGCCACTTTCGGATTCCGCCCGGGGGGTATCATGATGTTGGGTGCAAGAAAATCATTATGCGTAAACACAATGGGTACATCACTGCTAATTTCAATCCCGCAAGTGTTGTGAAACTGTTCGACAGCGTTGGTGCCTTGGAAGGGGCCAACAAGCTTTGGACGGTATACGAGAAGTCCGTCGTTCAGTAGTTGCTTGCCTAGACTGCCTGTAAAACTCCGGAGGTTAGGTCTTCCTGAATGCCATAAGGTTGATAAACTCACCAATGTAAGGGACATCAAGGTCTTGTTTCAAAGACCTTATCATTTTCATGTAATGGCCAAGTTCCTCACAAATGGCTCGTATTTCGTCTTCATTCAAGTCGCCCCATCTCTCCATTAACGCCTCACCCTCCACGAATGACATATAAATAAAAGTCTGTCTCGCATCCTGTGCCCAGCCAAAGACTTCAGGAACAGGTACACGGTTTTGTAACTGCTCGCGTAGCATTATTTGGGTCTGGGCTTCAGCAATAGTTATATCCGCGCCATATTTCACAACCAACCCCAGCGATGGAATCATGACAGGTGGGGGACAATTGAAGCTTGTGGCAGATGGATCGCCCGACCCTTCGTTGATGGCTCGAACGTCAGCTGTCGATGGAAGTGTATCCGCTCGTTTCTCCTTGAAGAAGCTGGATTCGGGGAAGATCTTCATTTGGGTGGAGATGGAATTTCTTCCATAGCGCGTAGGCCTGAAAACGTCAATATGGAAAGTAAGAGTTAAGCGCGACTTGAGGGAGGAGGTACTCTAAACGAAAAAGTGGCCAGTTATGTGATAACCAGCTGGGTTAGATAACCACGCCACGTTCCCTTACCCCATGCGAAGGGAAGACACTCGCCTTTCTTTCGATGGATACTGGAGCAGGAAAAACAGTGGAAAGTGTGTGTTATTTGACTCTTTTGACAGTCAGAGATGTTAACATTGTATAGACTGGTTGTTGATGACAATGAAAAGAGAAATGGGGAAGAGGAGAGATACACAATGGCGTCTGTGTTGCTTAGGATTAAGGTAGGTGCTAGGCACCCGTTTATATGTACCGACTCTTCCCCAAACCCTCTCGGATTTGGTGAAAACCGCCAGCTCTTTCTGCCAAAGATCAAGATTTTTAGATTACTAGGTAAATAGAGGGGCTTGTATATGAAATATCTGGTCAAATACCTAGTGGTTGCACGTACTCGGTGAACAAGGTACCACGGTATCGATTCCAAACACGTATCTTTCAGTTCATCCGGATAGTAATCAAAGAGGATGACCGTATCACAGAGGTTCCATCTGTAAAGGGAAGCTCTTCCAGTACTGGCTCCAGTGTTTCTTCTCTACCCCCCAAGTGGACGGCCAGAACTCTTGAAAGCTCTTCCAGTACTGGCTCCAGTGTTTGTTCTGCACCCGAGTGGACGGCCAGATCTCATTCAAGAGATCTTCGACCCACACCGGTATATGTAGACGGCCGTATTCAGTAATGTCGTCCTCTCGCCACAATTCCCATGCTTCCTTCCCAATCTCCCGCACATCCGGGTTTCTTTGGTTGTAGACATCAGGCCTGGTGAGAAGAAACGAACGACTCAGTTGCCGGATCACATGCGTCTCCTCCCTCGAATAGAAGTTTGCACCGAAGGGTATGATGCGTAGCTTCCGCAGTCTTTTGCTGGGTTGAGTTGACGCAATGAGATTCCAAATACTCATCACGAGGCTTTCATCCGTCGCAGCATTAATCAGAGTCTCTCGCAAACAAGCAGTGCTGGCACTTTCCGGACCGATGGGCAACCGTCTGGGATCGCAATGCAAATCCAGGATTAAGGTATGCAGCTGTGTGAATTGACCGAGTGCTCTGTATATGTTGCACTCCCGGTGATTGCCTCCCTGGCGCTTGATCTGGAGCCGAAGTTCCTGCAAGTTTGGGCAACAGTCTACCAGCTGAGAAATATGTTGACTGTCTAAAACTGGGTACTTGTATCCGTTATCGTATATCATTGGCGACCTTAACACCCGTCCGCCGTTCTCCGATGCCTCAATTGCGAGGCCGTGCAATGATGTGCCATGGTGCTGAAGGATGTGATCGAGGGAAGAAGTGCTGCGTAAGCCGCGCAGACAGAGGAACCTCAACGGAGCAAAAGCTAGGACTGCGGCCACCATCTCCTCATCATCCGCATTGACGTCTTCATTGTTTTTGGCCCATGGGTCCATGGCAACAAATAGTCGCTCTAAGCTATGGAAAAGCGAAGCGGCTTGGGCTAGCAAGCTCGGGCTGGAGTAAATGGACATATCCAATGAGCGGAGCCGAGATAGGTCGACAAGATTCCCTAGTTTCACCAGAACCTCCTCCGACGGTCTGTGGCCATCAATGTCCAACGAGAGGGACTCCAAACAAGCTGCCGGGACGGGCTTTAATTCAGCTGAGAAGTCTTTCCATTCCTGTTTGATTTTCTTGATGGAAACATCCATGGATACACCTATATCGCGTATGGTTAAACGCTTCAGGTTTTGACCCATGCAGACAAACGGAAGAAGCTCGTCGAGGTGAACAAATCCTTGACCTCCACTGGGATCGTTTGTGGTGGAGTAATCCAAGGCAAAGGTATGGAGACCTGGGGACCGGAGGATGCTAATCTCAAATGGATCATCCATTGAAAAAGAGGATCCAAGGCGAGCCCTTCCTAGGCCGGGTACATCAATGCTCAAGGACTGAAAGGTCCAGATATTTACTCGGCACCTGGGATGATACTGGCGGATGGCCTGATGAACGGGTGCGGGAAACGTATTTTCCATCGCGTAGTTCAGCTCCTTTAGGTGCTCAAGACGAGCGATCAGCGACACAAGCGGCTGCCACTCCTTCTGTGAATAGTAACCAACACTCAAATTCAAGAAGCCCAGCTCCGAGTCGATGGATTCCCGGAGTCGGTGCTCCAGGAACGTGTCCCTGTGAGCTGGCGGAATGTAGTCGGCAAACTCCATCCCCCAGTCTTTAACCTGCCAGAGGCTCTTTGCCTTTTTGGTCTCGATATACGGCTCATAAAGGCAAACCACATCCAATTTACGGGCATACTTGAGAAATATCTGTCCTAAACCGCCTTGATCGACCTCAGATGCAGTCGCCTGGAGCCCAGCCAAGTCTCGGAATTTTACTCTGAGGGTTTCGAACAGAAATGGAGCCACTAGGTCACTCCACAGTCTGTTTATTAATCTGAGCAGCGGAAGATCGCCTGGGGAGTCTGTTTTGATCTGAGATTTGTTAATATGCTGACAGCGCGGAGAGTAGGTGAAGACAGACCATAAAACAAATGTGTTGCAAGACTTCAATGGGAAGATCCTCCATGGTGTTGTAGGGATGCGGACGTGGTGAGAATGCGCTAATGTGGCTGACAACGTGCCTTTAATTATTTCTGCCCCCATGGAAAGTTATCCTTGCTAAAATTCACGTGTGTTAGGCACCTGTTAATTTACCAATGGCGAACTCGAGCTGGTCATGGATTTAGCATGATTCTCGTCTTATTTTCATTTAGTTGGTCATATTGATTGGGTGCTTGGGACTTGTGTCTACCTTGGCGAAGGTCCCCCATGTTCTCGGTAGCATACATCCTGTCACACAGTTTTGGACTCCTCAAATGATTTTCGTGATTCTATGTAACAACGCGAGATGAACTTCGTTATATATCAAACCACTCAGCCAAAAAGGCGTCTAGACGGCCATCTCTAGCTAGTGGGGATAATAGCCGTAGGGTCAACACAGCAGGGATACAACAAACTTTATACATCCGGACCTAATTACTCTCGGCCTCCTTGGAATGGTCGGGTACGATTCGCAGATCGTCAGGGGAAGATTGTATGGCCATAATGAACAATGGCAAAGGCGTACCCCGATAGCTGGTCAAGGCTGCTCACTACCAGTGTTTTCACTGGGTTCTGGTCAGACGGTGCCTCCCACACTTCTCGCACCTCGCTGATCTTTTCATGGATCCAGTGTATGAATGTTTAAGCTTAACGCCATACGTTGTTCTCTGTGTCCCCTGGTATCTATTTACTCGTTTGACTCCATACGTGCAATACTTGAGGAAAACAAGCTAATCGAGGATGTGGTATTCCTGGTTAGGAAAGCATATCTGCTTCATTATCCTACTAGACTAGATATATAGATGGCGCCATCTGCTCTGGTGAATGAGCTGCCGCAAAGATTACAGCAGATTTTTGGTTTTTTATGGGTCTGTCATACTTGCTAAGCTATTAGGTCCTAAGCCATGTTAGGTCTACCAGTCGTAAAGTGAGCATGCAAGAATCTAGGAAAGTGGTTCAGAAGTTAGTGTATTTCCGGAATGTTAGTCAGGGGTTTATTGGTCTTTGTAGGTTGACGTGGAATGAAGAGTGCTTTTATACCCTCCATTGAATGCGAGTATCTGTTGGAACAGTCCTCCTATAGGATACAGGGAGGTAGATCTGGATGACCGTAGAAGCTTGCCGAGACATGTTATCACCATAGAGATTCTGACTTCGCCTCTTTCTGATAATACTGATAGCATCATGGGAGAGCTACATTAGTTGAATGGAGAGGAGATATTCGGCCGTCGGCGATCCAGACAGTTCACATGAACATATATGCTCTAAATACCGGCTTGGTGATTTCCTGCGCTGGAAGGGATTTGTGGATCGAGCAACTAGCTTCGTCCTTCCCTCTAGCAAATATGCTGTCTACATAGGAACACAGAAACTGGTCATAAAGGGTTTGATTTTCCGCAGACAATTCAATACACTATCTATACAGATCTAACGGCTTAATCAAATAACGAAAACCACCCAGCCGAACGTCCGTTCGAAGCTTTTGCGACAACGATGATGAGGAACTGGTCCTTAGGCACCTTTTGGAGCGTCGGGTATTTATCGGCTTTCTTAGTCTTAGTAACGTTGGACTCCCACGTCCACGTGTTACCCGTCAACGACACAGGCACATTCGTCTCCTCTCCGTTGACATAGATTGTGATTGACTCGGCCTTCACCTTCGGGTCGGCAGACTCGAAGGTACCAGTGATCGAGACGCTTCGTGCCTCGGTGTCTGGACCCTGAGCGTCGAGTGGAGTTGTGGAAAAAGACCCGACCTTGAGGACGGGACGCACTGTTCTGAGCTCTGACGACGAGTCGGAGGACGGAGGCGGCATGGTGATTACATCTGAGGGAAGCGCCGGAGTCCGTGGGGGAATGACGCGCCCTTTTCGACCTTGCTCGAAGGCATAGGCGTAGCGGATGAGGTCGTTGTCGCTGTAGGCCTTGCCGAGGAACGTCAAACCCACCGGCATCTCCTTATCAGCCATGTTCCCCATGGGGACGGTGATGGCCGGGACTCCCAAATGCTTGAGTCCGCGGCCGCCGTTCGCATACTTGATACCTTCCTGCAGGGCGTGCAACATCGATTCATGAAGCTCCTCGGCATCCGCCCGGGCAACATCTCCGTTGGTCGGGAAGACCAACAGGTCAAAGTCGTTCGAGTCCATCCAGTCCTCCAAGTCGCGTTTCCGCATTTCTTCGAGGGCCTTGATAGCGTCCACGCACCCTGGCAAATCATAGATGGTGCCATCACGGTGTCGGACAGTTTCGATCATATCGACGTAGCGGACGTGATTTTCGACCTCGGTGTGCATGGTCGGATCGTCCATAGGAGCAACATGGGGGTGGACGATGTCTGGGTTAGCGACAGTGAAATTCGGGTAAGACTTGTCGCCGTTGGCGCGGAGGAAATCGTCCCATCCAGTTGCGATCATCCGGCAGCGTTCGATGTTCATCCATTCGGCAGGCATTCCGGGAACGTTAGCGCTCTGGCCAGGGTATAACTTCTTCTCGTAGTTGTCAACCAAGGGGAAGTCGGTCTCAACTACCGTTGCACCCAGAGACTCCAAGGTAGTCCGAGCCTTCAGCCACAGGTCGTGAACAGAATCAGCAAGAGCATCAGGGGGTTTGAGAGCAGTAGGAGACTGCTTTCCAATGTAACGCATGGGGACTGCGACCTTCTTTCCTTGAAGCGAGTGCGGGTCCTCCAGGCTTTGGTAATCCGCAGGCCGGACTTGCGACGAGAGTGGGATAGGGCAGACACTCTGGCCTCTCCAGAAATCGCCAGCAGGGTTAGGATCGTCCGCCACGATGACATTCAAGATTTCTACGAGGTCTTGCACCGATCGCGCAAGGGGGACAATGACATCACACGTAGGATAAAGCGGCCATTGCMCCTGTAAGGGGATCACACCTCTTGAGGGTGAGTATCCGACGAGCGCGTTATTGGAGGCGGGTGAGCGACCAGAGGATACGGTCTCCCCACCAAAGCCAAAGGCCGCAAAGCTCGCCGTTGTTGACGTCCCGGCACCGTTCGAAGACCCAGAGGCATATGCCGTAGTGGAGTATTCAGGATTGTAGGGGCTCTCCGACCTGCCGTAGAGACCCCGCTGGCCACCGCCGTCCGCCATCGCAGGCATGTTTGTCTTGCCGAGAACGATAGCGCCTGCTTTGCGGAGGGACGAAACTATCGTCGCGTCGTCAGTTGAATTCAGATCGGCAAAGGCAGGCGACCCAGCTGCGACGGTCATGCCCTTAACTTTAAAACTGTCTTTAACCGTGAATGGAATGCCTTCCAGAGGCCGTGACTTTTGACCGGAGGCGCGATAGTCGTCTGATGCCTGTGCCTCCTCGAAGACTTTGGGGTTCAGCAGCGGGATCGAATTGAGAGACGGGCCGTTGCAGTCGTATTTTGCGATTCTTTGGAGGTACATGGTGACTAATTGGACGCTGGTGATGGAGCCCGCGTCCAGGGCTCTCTTGAGATCGCGGATACCCGCATCGACAAGGTTGAATGTCTCGGAAGCCATTGGTAGGGTCAAGGTCGTGTGAGGATTGTAATTCCTGAGAATATGTAAAGGCGGGAAGATGGTGGGCAGTGACTAGGATGGTCCTGTAGCGCAGCTTTATACCAGAGTATTTCTTATCAACTCCGCGAGCGTCTAATGTCTACTCTCCGCGACCACCAGATGGAGCATTGGTATACTATGGGGACAGGGGATAGTCGAGCCGACGACATAGAAGCTCGTGCCGGCAGAACGCACTGGCTGCCCATGGCGGGCCGGGGTGTTGGATGTAGCAACACATCATCAAGCGCCGTGTTTGAAAAGCGCTACCACCAGTACCGTGGTGGCGTACGGTTCGATCGAAGCAAAGGCAATGCCAAGTCAGGTCGATAGTACAGAGAAGGTCGTCGCGATGCAGCAAGCAAAAGAACAATAGGATGACCCAAAAGAATAGGTATTCGGCTGACAGGCCGAACCAGTGGACGGGGCAAACTTGTAGGTCGCCAAGGAAAAGGTTATCTGCATTTAAGGACTCGGCTCGACCTTCCTTCCCAGTCATGTTCCCCATCCCCGGATTGCCGAACCTCTAGGGTAAAGTCGGTTATCAACTTATCAGCAGCCGCCCGATGATAATAAATTAACGACGAGGCATGTCGACACGAGCTCTCAGATTCCCCCAAATTCCTTAGTGAAGTCACCTTCTTTTACTGTCATGCCGGAGGGCGCACGCAGCAATAAGGGCTGCTGGACGTGCCGCATCCGCCATCGGAAATGCGACGAGTCCGTCCCAGCCTGTAGGGAGTGCACTGAACGACGGATCCACTGCCACGGGTACGGGCCCCAGCCAGACTGGGTTCAAGATCCGATCAAGCTCAAGCGAGAACTCCTGCGTATCAAGCTCGCCGTGAAGGAGAACTTTCGGCAAACCAAGAAGATTCAGAATGCGCGACTCGCGAGAAGAAAGGCCAGGGATGATGGCCGATCGTCTATGCAAGCTGGACATGAACATGAAACGCCGGGCACATCCCAACAACCCAAGCCGAATATTCACATGAGCTTCCGCGAAGCAGAACTTCTGACTCACTACCTTGACTACATCTTCCCCATGCAGTATCCGTATTACAGAGACAACCCTTATCTCGGGGGCAGAGGGTGGCTTTTCTGGCTTCTAACCAAGAAGGGGCCACTACGGGAGGCCGCACTGACGCTAGCAGCTTTGCATGAACATACGCGGTCCCATCTCACGGCGAGACATACAGAGCGAGAGCTCCTGAGATATCATACTAACGCCATGCGCGAACTTCGGCAAGTCTTGACTCATCGGGGAGCCGATGGCTTTGCGACGCATCATGAACAGTGGCTGGAGTTCGTATCATGCGGCACAGCACTAATGAGCTTTGAAGTGAGCTTCTCCAATAAGCTTCGCCGATGTTGCATCCGCCGCTTATGTTCTATAGATTGGCTGACATGAGGCAGGTCTTCCAAGGTGGCACCACCAACTGGGAAACTCATTTAAACGCTCTCACATCCCTGGTCGGCCAAATAGACCCCGTCGACCTCGGCAACCGACAAAACCACCCTGATGATGAAGGCATCGAAACGTCAAGAGGCGTCGTTGCGGCCCGAAGGTTTCTGATCTGTAACCTCTTGTGGTTCGACATTCTAGCATGCGTAGCCAGGGAAGCTCCGCCAAAGATGGCTTATCGAGAGTGGCTTGCGCTGGAAGGCATGGACATCTCCTGCGTTACAGGGTGTCAAAATTGGGCAATGATAGCCATAGGGGACATCGCCACGCTATCCGCGCGTGCTGATTCCATGGAGAGTGAACACTTCAACTCCGAGGCTATGGAAATAAATCGGCATATTATTGAGAACATGGCCTCCTTGGAGACAAATAACAGTGTATGCTCTAACATCTACCCCCAAACCGACCGCCAGCTGATCTGGAACAGCCAACAGGCTTTGGGTCATCGGCGGAGTCCGTGTCCAACTCCGTAACTCGCGTCTTTGCTGCTGCTGCTCTTGTCCAGCTCTATGCCTTAACCGCAGACTATGCTGTAACTCGCTACAATATCCACTTTGCTGTCAATGAGGCCATCTCCGCGATACGAAGAGTGCCCCGACATCTCTCCCGCCGAGGCCTGGCCTGGCCGCTCTGTATCGCCGGCTCATTAGCAGAGCCGGACCAACAATCCTTCTTCGATAAATTGATGCGGGAGATACTGGAAGGGCCCGAGCCTGGGTTCAGCAACTGTGGCACGGCACTGAGAATTATGAGGCGGTGCTGGGCTGAGCCCCAAGCTGTCCGCCGGGATGGATATAGGGCCGTTTGGGGCCGCGCGATGGATGACTTGAAGATCTCCGCCTTGCTAGTATAAAATGGAACAAACGGGAGACCTGCATGTTATTCCTGAGTGTCTCATCACACACCTTGCAAGGTTGATTTTAAGCATTAGCTTCTGCTAAAAGCTATAAGCGTAAAGATCCACTCAAGGCTCTATCTCAACCTGCTCCTCCCTCACCCAATGCCCGCTCTTCCCCCCCTTCTTCTCCAACAACTGCACCTCCCCAATCACCATCCCCTTGTCCACAGCCTTCAACATATCATACACCGTCAACGCAGCCCCCACCGTCGCCGTCATCGCCTCCATTTCCACCCCAGTCCGGCCCGCACAACTCACCGTCGCTACCACACGCATCGCCCCGTACCTCATCCTCATCCCCGGCTTAACATCTTGGGAATCCGGCAGAGAACCAGGGCCACGATCAGGGTCAACAAGCTTAACGTCGACCTCCACGCCCGTAATCCCAATGCTGGGGTGGCACAGCGGGATCAAGTCCGGAGTTTTCTTGGCGGCCATTATCCCCGCGATGCGGGCGACGCTGAACACGTCGCCTTTCTTGGTGAGACCCTTGCGCAGGAGCTCGTGTGGTCGTGCGTTGGAGAAGTGGACGAGACAGCTTGCTGTTGCGGATCGAGCTGTGATTGGTTTTTCGGTGATTTGGGTCATGTGCACGGTTTGGGAAGGGGTGAGGTGGGGGAGGTCAGGGTCGGAGGTTGTTGGTAATGATGGTGATGATGACGGAGCTGTTTCGGTTTCTAGTTTGTGTTCTGGACGGGAGTCGGGGTTGCTACGCTTGTGGTGATAGTGACGAGCCTGGAGTTTGAATGGCGAAGTATGCAAGAGGTGAAGGGGAATATTGGCTGAAGTTATTCTGGACGTCGAATTTCTGAGATATTCACTATCTAAGCCTCCTATCAGCATTGGTGGTACCAGGCCAGCCTTACATATCCAAATCAATACATCATGGTCACATCGTAAATCAAGTATGAAAGCCAAACGCCAGAATGCACGATAATCTGCAGACGGGTATATGAAAAGATGAAAAGAACAAGTCACGCCTACCCACCAATAAGTATCATCGGCCGATTCTTCATATTCTTCAATTCACCCATGCCGGCGTGTTTGGCCTTTTTGCGCTTAACCGCCATCCCGATCAGCTCAAGGAGCTCTCGCTCTCTCTGATTGACCTCCCCGCCCTCGTCCTGAATGCGAGCGGCTGCTTCCGCAGACTCAAGAAGCCGCAGTTCTTTTAGTAGAGTTTCATCAATCGGCTGGCCATCATTCTCCTTCCGAATGATATCACGCAGCGACACCTCCGTATTGCCGAACAGACAGACTTTCAGGTTCCCGTCGCTGGTGATGCGCAGCCGATTGCAGGTGCCGCAGAAATTATGCGTCATACTCGTGATAAACCCAACCCGGCCTTGGAAGCCGGGGATCCTGTACGTCTTGCTGGTATCGTTCTTGTGCCCGACCACCTTCTCCAGAGACGGGTACTTCTCCCGAATCACCGCCAGCATCTCCTGGTACGAGAACATCTTGCCCTCGCTCCACTTATTCCCGTCAAAGGGCATGTACTCGATGAACCGCACCTCGATGGGACTGTCCCGCCCCAGCTCCACAAACGGAAGGATCTCCCGATCGTTGATCCCCCGCATAACCACGCAGTTGATCTTCAACGTGATCCCCGCACCCGCTCGATTCAACTCCAGGATGCGCTCGATGCTTTTCATCACCGCCTCAAACCCTTTCCTCCTCGTCATAATCTGAAACTGGAACGGATCCAGCGTGTCCAGGCTGAGATTCACTCCGGTTAGCCCCGCCTCAACCATATCCTCCAGCTTCCGATGCAACGAGATCCCGTTCGTCGTCAGACACAGCTCCCGCAGCCCGTTCCGCCGCAGCTCGCCGATCGACCGCATAAGCGGGACAATGTCCTTGCGGACCGTCGGCTCGCCGCCCGTCAGCCGGATCTTGCTCACCCCCTGCGAGACGAACAGCGAGGATAGGTACACGATTTCCGGGGTGGTGAGGAGGTGCGCGGGCGGGGAGAGCGGTACGCCTTCCTCAGGCATGCAGTATAGACAGCGCAGGTTGCAGCGTTCGGTGACGCTGATGCGGAGGTAGTCATGTTGGCGGTTGAAGGTGTCGGTGAGGAAGTCGGAGAAGGGTCGTGCGGATCGGAGGGCGGTCCATCTGGAGGAGGGAGTTGCGGAGGACGATGACGAGGGGTTAAGAGGGTAAGTTGTCGAGCTAGGATGGGTGTCGTTGCTTGTTGTTGATGGTTCTACTGCAGCTGTGGCAATTCTGCTATGTAGACGAACCCTTGGTACTAGCTGGCGATAACTGCGCGGGGAGAGCCGAAAGGCGACTCCGCACATGCCCAGGAGGGACTCACTCATCCTGAGCAGAGATTTCTGCACAAGGAGGACTTTGATGGAAAACTTGTGTCCTGCATTTAGGAAGGGAAAAGACCTCGAAGAAGTTCAAAGTGACGTTGCATTGTGGGTTCTTATCAAGGAACAAGGGTGTGACTCCAACTCCGCGGAATCGGGCGACCCCCGCCATTTGCAGGGTAACAGGATTAGTCACCGCCGTTATTATTCGCAGAATTACTTCCGCATGATATCACGGGCTATCCATGTAGCCTTGGCCCCGCCGAGTCAATTTGCGCATTGACAGACAGCATGAAATAGTCAGATAATAATATGGTAGATGGATTACTACGGGTCTCAAGCAAGCTTTTCCACATGCTCTGATACATGAACATCCTTCTTAGTCTCCTCAATCTTCCGCGCCAGCTGCATCTTCTCATCCTCACCCTCGAAAAGGTACGTCAACTCCTCCAGCGTCGGACCAGCAGTCTCCACAAAGAAGAAGTACACGACAGCGAAGACGATGGCGACCCATACGCAGTAATAGATGTAAAACTTCCAGCCGATATTCTTCAGCCCTATGGGATTGACATACCCGCCAAAGATGGATGACACCTGGATCGTCAGCAAGACAAAGGCCCACGTCTTCGCGCGCATCTGATACGTCACGATCTCCAACGGATACGTGACGATCAAATTGGTCCAGGCAAGGGTGTAAAATGCCTGGAAAACAAAGATACAGGCGAGCACGAGTCGTCCCGCGGCCAGTGAGCTGGTTTCCAGGTAGCGCTGCGCCGCAATGGTCCACACGATGAAGGTGACCAGCACGCCTCCGGAGCCGGTGAGGAAGAAGAAGCGCCGCTTGAATCGGTCAATTATCAAGGTCACCGTGATCGCGACAATGTACTGCCACAAGGTGACCATCCCGTTCACCAGCGTTATCTCAAACTCGGTCTTCAAGCCAGTGTCCTTCAGGATCTGCGTAAGATAGTTTGACACGAGCAGGTTGCCCGAACTCTGACTGAAGACTGCCGTGGCGAAGCAGAGGAAGATCCGCTTGAGATTGGGCACGGAGGAGAAAAAGTCCTTCCACGTCATGTTATTCTCCGCTTCCTTTGCGATGGCCTGCTGAATCTCTGCGCATTCAAAATCAACTAGCTCGGAGTTGGGATCGCATTCTCCGTGATATTTGACCAGGATGGCGCGTGCTTCCTGCAGCCGACCCTTGGCAATCAACCATCGTGGGGATTCTGGGCAAAACCAAATGAGGCAGAATTGATAGGCCGATGGAATGACCTGAACCAGGGTAGGTAGCCTCCACGACCATTGACTGTTGATGCGGTAGCATCCAAAAGTCGCCCATGCACCAATCACATAGCCCAGAACGATGGAGGTGTTGTAGAAAGTGGTGATTTGCACTCGTTCCTTGGGATGAGACAGCTCGGTAACCAGCACTGGGGCACCCATCTGGATGAGCGAGGAGCCCACGCCCAGCACAATCTTCCCACCGATATACATGTCTAGCGAGGTGGCAAAGAACTCAATGAGGACCCCAACGATAATGATCACCGATCCCAAAGCTGTAGGAAGACGTCGCCCGAACTTATCCCCAATCCAGCTCAGAAAGATAAAAGGAATGACACCTCTAATCGCGTTGGCCGCTCCAAAGAACCCCAATCGGGAGCCGGTTGGGTGGCCGAATCTATCTTGCCAGGATTGCAAGACCTGCATGCCGTTCGTCATCGACTGTAGCCATGTTAGTGGTGCTATACCAACGGAAGAGGCATTCTCACCCCATCAATGCCCAAAGCTGCACTCGCCAAGAGGGACGATGTAAGCAGAAAGTAGAGTAAAATACCATTCTTCCGACGCCAAAAGGAAGGAATGGAACTTAGATCAATTGGTGATAAGATGCCATCGGCAGCATGGGCAGCAGCGGGTGCCATTGTCACGGAGACTGCTCGCGTCACTTAGAGGATAAGATACAATATAAGAGGCACAAGACGGTGCACCAGCATAGATCAGCTCAGAATGCAGGACTTGTTCGCATCCTCTTATAGAAGGGCCATCAAACCAGAAGCCATCCTCGAATCATGACTATGCAAGCCACAGTCCAGATTGGGGTCGTCTGATTCTGGAAGAGATCAAGGAAAAGATTATCACGATGGATTTCTCCCCGTGGGGAACTCCACTTCTGCTGGAGAAGTTTAGTTTTCGGCGAAATATCAGGGGATATCCAACGGAGAAATCACACCCAACGTATGGAGCATTTCGCCGACGAACATCATCTGCTGCCCCGCGGCCCCGCCGTCGTGGAAGATACTCCGCGATGAGATCGTGCTGACCGGAAATAATCAAAGTATAAGTTAATTCACTTGCTCGACGGCAATTGTGGCGCTCGTAACCTTTCTGAGCCATCGTCCATGTGTACGTTCCTCAATTCCTCCACTTAATCAGTCATGCCATCTCCTACGCCTCTTCCCCCTAACTTCACCTGGGGCTTCGCTACAGCCGCCTACCAGATAGAAGGTGCTGTTGACGAAGATGGACGAGGAAAGTCCATCTGGGATACCTTCTGCCATCTGGAGCCCTCGAGGACCAAGGGTGCCAACGGCGATGTCGCCTGTGACCACTATCATCGGTATGAAGAGGACTTTG